TATATATATATATACGTACATCGCACACTTACTCGCTACTGTATACCTATTGTGGAACAGAAAAACTATGCGATAAAATATTTTAGATAAATTGGAGAAAAATAATGTGACAAGGAAAAAAAAAATCAAGGGGCCGAATCGGTTATAAGTGTATTAATGTCCAACAGAAGAAAAAAAAATGAGCTGAGAGGATTTTTAAGCATTACTTACTTTCATTGTGGACATGGTAAATGTAATGGCAAAAAATTTTTAGATGTTTAATAAATACCTATATATATACATATGCGTGCGAAATTACAATTAAGCTATTGTTGAGAGTAACAGTGGGCTGATTTTCGCTATTTGAATGAATAAAAATGAAGCGATGTAAAAAAAAAAAAAAAAAAAACTGTTGTGTTTTTCTTCTGCTTGGTATTTTAATTGTTAAAATTGATCTAGTACAATCCCAAATAATTCTTGAGGCAGTGAAAAAAGAAAAGAAAGAATTTGTCCCGTATTTTTTGAAAAATCAAAAAAAGTACCTTAAAGAGGCGATGGATCTTCAGAATTTGCAAGAAATTACGAGACCTGGTAAGTGTAATTAAAATGTTCTTTGTTTTTTGAAATTTTCGCATCAGGTTTTATTAAGCATTTTTAGGAAAAACGAGCATTATAATTTAATACAAAGTTTCCATTTTTCAAACTAATAACTTTCATTATCCAATGTTAAATAAATCACCATCAACGGCATTTAAGAGTCAAATTCAAGAGGTAAGGAGTATTCATGAAAGGGTAAAAAATGACACGGTCTTAAGTATGCAATTTTTGGTATTTATTACTGAAATATACTTAACATCTCTTAATAAATAAATATGGACATAATTTTTTTACATGATGATAAAGAGAAAAATATCTAAAATTTTTATTTTAATACTGGTAAAAAAATTCGTAAAAAATTTTAGGTTGCTGATACATGCGTTTATGAAATCGTAAGTAGATTATCTAAGCATCCTTAAAATAACATTATCAGCATGTAACATGTTCTACAGTAGTGCACTAAATCTTTTCATTAAAATTACATTTCTTTTTCTAAGTATTGTATGGTCTTTGTTGTTATTCAAAGACGTTACAGTTTTTATTTAAAGTACGGATAAATCATTATCAGATAAACGTAATTGATAGTATACATCTTTACATTTACATTAAAAGAATAAATTGTGTACAAGTGACAATCTAAATTTAAATAGTTTTTGTTTTCGGTAATAAATATATCTTAAGGGGAGAGGGATTACAATATTAGTTACACGTGATGTATGATCATAACAAAAACATGTACATATATATAATATTTTCATATATAATTATGCATGTGTATACACNTTTTTTTTTTTTTTTTTTTTTTTTTTTTTTTTTTCTTTTACTTTCATCTCGTTCATCTCCGTCTCTTTGAGCCTCGATTGGAGATGGATGAAATTATAATTGTCCTGCACCTTGTATGTACTAATTTACTGCTGTGTTTCACTTTGTTATTGTCATCCACTCGACTTGGTTCAGTTTGATGCCAGAAAATCGCGCAAAGAGACACTCGACGAGAGTCTTAACAATCGGTATACACCTATACACTAGATGTTTGAAGTCAATTGGCAAAATGTATCAAGTGATTGTTACATCGGCCTTATATTGTGATTATATCGCCGCATCTTCAAATTACAAACTGGCGTTTATTCGTACTAACGATTATATTTTTTACGCTCGACTTTTCGTGTGTATTTATTCATTATTTTAATTCCATGTACAATTTAGATTTCAAAAGTGAGTGTAGTTCGAGTAGTTAACATTGCACGTGTAACTCCAGACAAACACAATCAATTTGCGTCAAAATCAGGTCAAATTGAATGGATAAAGGATTTTTGCACTGGATCGTTGTGTCTTGCAAGCGAAGAGATTTTTTTTACTATAGCACTCTAAAGAAAAAAAGCTAGTGTTTCGTATCTATATTTATAACAAATACACCGATATTTTAAACAAATTTACCCACGCGTTGGCAAGGTAATCCAAAATTACATAACGATCGTTGTAAAGACTCGATTATACCAGAGGTAAAATTGATAAAATTTGTCGATTGAAAACACGATATTCGCATTGATCGGGTGCACCTTGTGCACCACGTGAGTGTCGGCGAAAACAATTTAAAAAAAAAAAAAGGATACGAATACTCGTTCCCCAAGCTCGCGGCACCGTTACGCCGATCAAAGTTAATTAAATTGAAATTCATCGCTGCACCGGTTGAAATTTCGATACACCCCCCGACCAACTTTGTTTGTAAATATCACGTGAATGGAAACAAAATTTCCGTTTCAATCCAATAACCCATGCACCACAGTCTGTCCATTAACACATTTTATACACGTGACTATCGCTAATTCGGATGTTTTCCCGAGACCTCGATGGACATTGGTATATAGAAACTGTCGTGCAGCGAAAACCACATGTACCAAAATTTACGTGCCATATAGGTATAGTGGGCATAAAAACCATTGAATGTCATGAACGTAAAAAATGTTCTCGTACCTCGGGTGGAAAAAAAAAATGAACCCATGACTTTTTGCGTCGCCACAGGTAATGAAGGACTGGAGCGACCTGGAGGAACGCTATCAGGACATTCGTGCCCGTGATCCCGTGGCAGCGGACGCCTTCAAGCGCTGGATGACGGTGCGCTTCCAACAGACCGTCGCGGCTCTCGAGGCTAGCGGCGCCGCTGAGAAGCACCACCTCAGCGCCATGCACCAGCAGCGGGTCCAGGTAATCATATCGATTATACGCCCACGGCCTTTCGACAAACTTTTCCTCGATGGCTACTTAGCGTCGTTTATATATATATATACGTAGGTACCCGAGCATTATACTCGGGCGAGAGGGCTTTTTAGCTCGCGATTTCAAGTTTCAGAGTTTGAGGCCCCGGAGAAGGATGCTGGAGGGTTTTTTTGTTTTAATTGTTTCTCTCTTGGCCGGGAGTTTTCGGGGAAAATTGAGTTGTGACCCGTCCACGCTTCTATAGCTCGCCGGTCGGGTGCAGCATGGCGAGAACAGAAGTTGACTTTTTTTTTTTTTTTTTTTTGCTGTCCTTGTATATGTATACGTATATAGCGTTTGGACGTCCTCGATTAATTACTGTCATAAAACTGTTGCGTCGTAGGAAACCGTCAAGCAGAGAAACGAGGAGGCTATGACCTGCTACACGGCAGCGCTGAACGAGATTCCACCTAATGTGAGTATTATCTTTGCTGTCGATTTTTTTTTCTCGTACTCCGAGTTGCGTCTTTTACGTACTTTTTTTTTTTTACCTGCTATTGCACGAGTTAATCTGTGTGCGCGCTGTGCTAACTTGTGGTACTTTATTGTACTAGATTTTCACGCACAAGAAGTTGAACTTCAAAGGTACCAGAAGTTGAACTTCAAAGGTACCAGAAGTTGAACTTCAAAGGTACCAGAAGTGGAACTTCACGCCCTGATTACAAAAATCGTTTTTTTTTTGACAAACAACGAGTCAAAATAAAAACAAAGCATGCACTAGCAAGTAAAACAGAAAAAAAAGAAAAAGAGAGCCAGCCGAGACGCGCATCGCGAAAAATAAACACGCAACTCGTAGCAATGCTAAAATTCACGAGAGGGAAAAAAAAAACGTTACGAGGGAGAGCAAGGCGTGTCCTTAACAACTAACCCCATAGCTCGGGGAGCAATGGGGGGGGGGGGCGCACGGACAACTATCCCGGAAGCGCCTCATCTCTCCCTCGATTTCTTTTTTCCTTTCTCTTATCACTCTCTCGAACGGATGAAACATCACCGTAAACATCGGTAAAAGCACGACCGACTGACTGTTTGTCCTTAAATCTGTCTTGGGAAAAAAAAAAAAAAACACACACACACAGGAGCACCGTATCCAAAAGTGCCTGCAAAAGCTGCTGCGAGCACTTCACAAGGACCGACACCACACTATCGCTCACTACAAGCATCTGCTGGACAGTAGCCTCGAGCAGGCGCAGCGCGAGAAGTCGGCCACCCTCGAGCACTTGGCCGACATCGACCGCATAACGAATCAGAGCCTCCTGATGCTTGAACGGTACGTATAACCATAATTTTCTACAGCGATGTATATAAAGTGGGAAAAGAGGGGGTGGGAGAGGACATGCAGAAACGACGAAAAAAAAGGACGCGTGTGGACAGCCGTATAGAGGATTCACGAATCGCGATGGGCTAGAACCGAACGCTCGCGAGTATGGGATGATTTTCCTGATTGAAATTGGATTTTTGAGGGTACATGGCGTTCCATATGGGTGCACACCCACCTATATGTACACATATGCACGTACGTACAGGTATATGCTACAACGGAGACCGAAAGAGCATCAGTGAAGGGGGAAAGGGGGGGGGATCTTTCTACATGGCTATGTGTGTATGTGCAGTACCGGAATTGAATCATCGGTTTTTAGGTGCCTTGTGCCTATATATGTATATACATACCGGTGCTATATTGTTTCACGCAGGGGTTGCATGCAGGGTGTGTATGCCATATATAACTTGCGGATGACGGTGTTACGGGAAGAGAAGAGCTTTTGATGAAAGCGCGGTTTTCGGGCGAAATTCAATACGTATGTACATGTGTGCGCGCACGTGTGCAGGACGGGCACGAGGGCCTCCTCTTTTCTCCGCGGTGCCGTGATATCGCCTTAATTGGAGATTTATAAATTGGAAAGGTTGTATCTCCGAGGGAGATGTACTTCGATCGGTGGATCTGAACCATAGCTCTGATATACAATATAAAGTTGCAATTCGCGTGAGATTTTTCGTTTACTGCTATATGCATTGCTTGTTAATGATTTTTTTTTTTTTTTTTTTTTTTTTTACTTTATTGGGGCTACGGTTGATTCTAAATTACAATGAAATGGCCACATACCAGTTTGCGCAAAATAAAACCACACCGAAAAGAGGGAGGTAAAAAACAAGTTTGCGGAAGTAGTTTTAAAAACTGCACGGGGGCCGACGTGCTCCGTCAACGACGCTACGGATACACAAAAGTACCTAGAGGGTGGGGGAAAGAAAAACTATGCAGTGTCCGCAAGTACGCGCGAAAAAGGGGAAAAACCAACATGAATTGCAGCGCACATATGGTAAAGCGTGGACGGTCGTTTGTACACGTGAAATTGCAGTTACCCGGAGCTGAGCAGCAAAATCGGTAAGCTGATGGACGATTACGTGCTGGCGTTGCGCAGCAAGGACGAGACGCCGGGTTTGCTGTTGGCGATGACGCGCGAGGCCGAGGCAGCCATTCTGGACAAGTTCCAGGCCGACGTCGCCAGCAAGCAGCAAGGTTCGTGTATGCTCTTTGAAAAAACGAAAATTACTTTTATTTCCCACCCCCCCCACCACCCCACTCCCCAAACGCCTCCAAAGCGTATATGTATAAGTACGTGCGCGGCACGCGAAAACGCTCGCACGTGTGTGTGTATAAGTACAGGTACGTTTTATCGATCCGGCTGCGGATGATGTGCGACCCCTCCTCCTCGGTGTATATGCTTACTCGCTTGCCGGGTGTTTTCGAAGCCTCCTTATGTCACCTCGGACCTTTGTCGCCTTTTTTTTTTAACTTCCTTTTCCTTGATTTTTCAAGAGTTTATAGCTCTTTTTCCCATCCGAGATCCATTTGGAATGGATGGTCGAAGGTACAAGGTTGATTTCGACAGCAGGTGCTATTTTTATACCCACGATGGGATATACAAGTATATGTACGAGGTATGTGTACTGCGACTAAAAAAATTTCACCATCACGAGGTAATTTTTTTTCTTCACGCCCGCAGCGCCAGAACCGATTGATCGATCGGTTAATTATATATATAAATACTACGTCGCGCAATATGACTTTGAAAACTTTCTCATTAAAAGAGCTGGTATTTGTACGTGCAAAATGAATGCCGTCGCGTTAAAACTCCTCCTCCTCGTGGCAGCGGAGCTCTTCCCTCTCGAAAGCCATTAGAAGCTCTTCACGGGCGCGCTTCAAAGGCCCTCTGCGAGCTTCGATCTCGCGCTCAGCTGCCGCCCGCATCCTGCGAGAGTTCGTTCACCCTTTCCCTCTTTCTGCAAATATACGTGTATATGGGTAGCCCCGCCCTTTGTGCTAATGATAGAGAGAGAGAGAGAGAGGGGAAAAAATTGAAAAATAATTTGCAGAAAAAGAGCATCAAAAGCAACTGGAGCGCGAGCGCAAGGAGCAGCGCAAGGCCGAGCGGGGCGAGTTGAGGAGCGAGCAGGAGCAGCTCAAGACCGGGGATGAGCAGCAGGCGACGTCCTCGGCCTCGTTGGTCCAGGTCGAGAAGAAGGACTCGGCTGCCGTGGCCGCGGCATCCCTCGCCGCCAAACAGAAGAAGGAGCAGGAACAAAAGCACGAGCAGCACGAACAGTTGCAGCAGCAGCAACCCGTGGTCGCTGCATCCACGGCCCTCAAGCACAACGAGGCGCTCATACAGGCCTCGCACAGGATGGCCCACGACGTCTCGCACTCGGAGCCGGTACGTTGCTTTTTTCCTTTTTTCAATGTATACGTATTTCGAGTGCAAGGCTTAAATTACATCCCCGAGAAGATCGATTACAACGAGGAATTGCTTTGTAATTATTTCACTCGATGTCACTTTGTACAAAGCCTGCACGCTACCATCAAACGTCACCCGAAACAAACATTGATCCATTGCGTGATCCATTTCCCGATAAAATTATCAATTTCAAATTGAATTTAACAAAAAAAAAAAAAAAAAAAAAAAAAAAAAAACCCC